CCCTTTACGCAATGCTTTCTATTCTCCACTATAGGCAGTACTTTTTTGTTTTGTTTAAAGCGCTGTCTAATATTCACGAGTTTTTTAATATATACAACTTATATTTTAAGCGCTCTCTATAATAATCACTTAAAATAAGCGTTGTCTTTCAAATTTGCACCAGATTTCATAAATTTGCAGCTTCAGTCCAATAAATATGCACCAAATTTACATATTTATATGTACAACTTTAATCTAATAATTTATATATACATAAATTTGATACAACTTGAAAATGCACACTCACACACATAAACATATATATATATATATATATATATATATATATATATATATATATATATATATATATATATATATATATATATATATATATATATATATATATATATATATATATATAGTTAAATCTGTTAGTTTTTGGTACATATATACAAATATACATATTACTATCTTCTAGAGCTGTTATCTTCTCTACAAACAACAACAACGAAGAATCCTAAATGAACTTGTTATCTCTATATCTTTTACATATGCACCTACCTAAAACAAACCATTAAAGACATATTAGAACCAAGCTGTATAACACTTAAATCTTATAACTATTATAATTTAACACAAACCAATGTAACAAAAACAAACTAAGAATCTGTTGTAACTCATCATTAAAAATTTCTCAATTCATACCATGATACAAACAAAACTTTATTTGAATTTAACTCAAATACCATCATAACTAACATTCCACATAACAACAACATTGCAACACAATTTACCACATTAATGACGACATAGTATCTCATCAAAACTCAAACTTATATATACTAAAATTTTTCATCAATGAAAGTGTCACAACACCTTATAAAATTATCATCTCTATAATGTATTGACATCAATCCTCCTTAATTTCGTTCAATTGATCTTTCGACTAAGTAGAAGACTTGAATTCATCAAAGTACTACATAATATAACATAATATGATTTAGTTAAAACTAATGAATTAAATGAAATGTATTAAATATTAAAATAAATCATAAGTTAGAAACCCATATCATGGTTGGAATCTCTATTTGGTTCAAAAGAATAATTTCTTCATAAACCTCAAAATGAAATAACCGCAATTTATACAATTACGTTGATGAGAACACTACACGTGAAAAAACACACACACACATATATATATATATATATATATATATATATATATATATATATATATATATATATATATATATATATATATATATATATATATATATATATATATATATATATATATATATATATATATATATATATATATATATGTATATATAGTTCAACTTGTTTTATCAAGTAGCATCACTAATATAATCAAAATTGTGAAAATATAACTGCACTCTGATTCATGTAATATTGTTTGCTTTATTCTTTGGTACTTGGGTATTTCTTTGTGATCGAAAAATTTGTATAACTCTAACAGAATATAAACGAATATTTAGAACAATCTCACATAAATAAATAAATAAATATACAAACGAATATTTAGAACAATCTAACTCACGTATCAACCATCTTCTTCATATCTGGGTATTTTGTCCAATCACCTTCTAACGAATTCAGATAATATACAATTTCTTTTATATGATTAATCGCAACCAACAACCAGTGTCCACTGTAAGATTAACAAAAGTTAGATGGAAACATTCTACACAACGTCAAAACACGAAAATTTATAATAGATGAAGTTTGAATGAAAATCTAACTCATTACCAATATTAAATGGTAAAAAAAAATTCTTATGTATCTTTGTTGACCATAAATACACGGACAAAATACTCTTTGACTTTATCTGGCCTTTGATCGATTAATCGTGAGTTGATATTGTTGGAAAATAAGAAACAAAATCTCTGTTCCAATTAATACAGAAGCATCAAGTTGTCATCCATCCATGAATCTTAAATAAAACATTATTAACATTAAGACTATTCATTGAAATGAATAAATAAATTGTTCAATTAATTAAATAAAGTTGATCAAAGTATACTTGATATAAACAAATGAAGTGTGATATGCTCCAAAGACCTGCAGGGACCTCTAACATATCTTTCCATAAAACTTCATTCAGAGTCTTTATTTTTAGCATTGCCATGTCCTATGCTAGTAATATAGTTGCCCTTGCAGCTTCATGACCGCTTTTAATTTCAACCTAAGATACTTCTTCTTCCGATTACTATATAAATACTTGAAATCTATAAATTACATTAATTAATTTTTTATATTCTATTAATCAATTTTATATTATTATATTTCATATTACTATTCATAAATATTATTCACAATTATTGTTTATATACTCTTCATTATTCTTATTACTGTTCATGGTATTTATGAATAATGAATAATGTGTAAGTGTAACCTTCGGTATATGAATATAATAGCTCTTTTAATTTTACTATTATTAAATGGGTTGGCGTCTAGTTGACATCATTACAAGTGAAACATTGATAGAGAATATACTTATTATGTATCCTCGTTACAAGGAAAACATTATAGAGAATATTCTAGAATCACATGAAGAAATAAAACAAATAAGAAAGAAATGTAACTAGTTATCACCCCTCTAATATTTCATTTCTTTTTATTTTATTTTATTTTTTCTTTTGTTTATTTTCTTTTCTCTTTTGTACGCTAGATGATATTTTATTGGTTTATTTTCTATTTTCTATTTTAATTATAGAGATGAGAATTCTAAATTTCTAATTTTAAGAGAAGAAAATTACTCAAAAATTAATAGCATAAAAAGTTGCACCACCTTTCTTCCATTCCATCCATTTTTTTCACTGGCGGTGGAAATAAAACCCCTTCTCTTTTCATTTCATATATAAAACCATTTCTCTCAAAAACATCTTAACTGTTTTCTCTCTCTATCTCTCTCCCCCTTTCTCTTTCTCTCTCTAAACGACGCCATCTCTATCTCGTCTTCACCGGCGGCATTATCCCCGGTCACCGCCTCTCGGTTCTCATATTCTTCCGTTCGTTGCTTCAGATTCTTCGCGGTTTGGATTCTCCGCCAAATTCATCCGTTGAGGTTAGCGTTCTCTTCATTTCTATATAATTTTTTTTGTTTATTTTCGAATAATCAAAATAATCGTTGATTCAATGCATTGTCATCAGAACTTCTTGGAAATCTATTGCATGTTTAGTTTAGTATAACATTATTTTCTATTGCATCATAAGGTTAAATGCATTTGCGATGATGATTACATGCATACAAGTCGAGATTATGAATTAAGATGCTCAGGTTAATTGATTATTGTGTGATTTCATATCATTATCACTATTATTATCATTATCAGGGTTTTATAAAAAGGTCGCGGTCACATCATGGTCGCATAAAGGTTTTAGGATTTCAGTCGGTGCAGGTGTTGCAACATTAGTTGCAGTTGTCACGTTGTGAATTAACATCAATTTGTTCTTTAATATAGAAAACGGTGATATCTGCCAATACTGTTTTATCGCATCAGTTTTCGCGGTTGCAGGCTATTTTTTAAATACCGATCATTATCAGTATCATTATTTTTTTTAATGTTTTTGGAATGCATTTTAATCATTGTGGTGCTTAGGAGCAAGGTTTTAAGTTATGGTTGTTATTACATTTCAATAATTGATATTACCCGAATTGTTCTACTTTTGCTAGTGGTACAGCATCTCAATAGCGGCTATATTTTGGGAAAATATGTTTAAATGTTGTTGTTAGCATGTTTAGATGTTGTTGTTACATTTAAATCATAGGTAAAACCTTTGTATTGCTTTGAGGACCACATTTTAAAACTGTGAAGGAGAATGCATGGTTTGTGAAATTAAGGAAATGATGCAACAGTATATTTAATTAGGAATTTTTTTGATGTCAGAGAATTTGTTTGATAGAAACTGTATTTTGGTTTTAGTTCGAAGATCTCTTATCGTAGTTTTATCGTGCTTTTCAACAAAGGATCCTTTACTAATAGGTATTATACATTCCGTATCATGTTTTGTGCGTTCAGGGTTATCACAAATCACTAGTTTACTAACATATTAACATTTGCCGATAAAAAATGTTTGGTCTGTTCATTTATATTGCACATGAGGGAGGGGACTTCAACCCATTTGTGCTCTCCTCTTTATCTGTGTCTGTTAGAGTGTCTACTACCAGGGGCAACCTTGGCTACCCCTTTTTAATTTTTTTTAATAAGTTAGTGCATTTTTATATTTAACTACTCTAACTATGTAGATTTAGCTACCCCAAATAAGTCTTATTTGTCAAACATTAGTAGAAATAGGAAAGTAAATAATTTATCATTTGAATCTAGGTTGGTTGTTAAATTTATTAGTCTTGTTTTGACACTTTCAATCTCTACAGCAACTACACAGAGCTTTGTCTACATCGAAAAATTGTCATGACAAATTCATAATCAAAATAGATGCAAAGTTTCTTGCAAATTACTTAAATATTTTATATTAAAGAAGCCATTTTTAGCCTGTTTACTTAACATCAAAAACAAATTTTATTTTTCTTTATAATTGCCCACCTTGTAAAATTTCAGCTAGCTCCGCTGCTGTCCATTATACAATTTAGGCCTATCTTCTTTTTGACAATAAACAGAAAATAAGTGAGATACTGGATTCTTATTAATAATTTCAGTGCCGAACGATATTGGGATTTTCTGACATCAGTCTTAGCCGTTAACCAACTCATTCCTTTATGTTGCTCCTAAACTGATGTATGATTTTTCTCCCTTCCCTCCCAATCTTATCCACTTATTGTTGGAAGGAAGAAGAGGGACGACAATACAACATTTTTAGTTTGTAGTTTTGATCAGAAACTATTTAAATATCCTTTTGATGAGTTGTTTATCAATCACATTCTTCTGTTTGTTTTGGAATTATCCCTGCTTTTCAAGTTACTAAAGTTACAAATAAAGGCAACTTGATATTTTTAGGAAATCCTTGCTGTGACAGGAATTTCGGATTCTTCTGCAATGGGTGGAGGTGAAGATCTTGTAAACAATGCAGCTAGTGCTGCTGGGAATCCCATTGTCCACGCCACTGGTACTACAGAAGATCCTATAAATGACAGAGGAGATTTCTCAAAAAAGGTTGAAAACATCAAAGCGGTTGATGTGGAAAGTCCTACAAATGACCTACCAAATCATGCAGTAAATCATGTTAGCAGCAAAGAAATTGGTTCAGAAAATCCTGCTAATGTTAAACCAAATGACTCACTAAATCCTTTAAATGACCAAGCAGGTGGTTCAGAAAATCCAGTAATTGTCCAAGCAAATGTTCCAGAAACCCGTAGAAATGAAGCAGGTGGTACAGAAACAGGTAATCCTATAAATGACCAATTAAATGGTGCGGAAAATCCTGCAAACAACCAAGCAGGTGGCGCAGAAACAAAAACTCCTATGAATGACCAGTTAAATATTGCGAAGACTTCTGTGAATGACCAAGCAGGTGGTGGAGGCAAAATTCTTGTTCACAATGAAGCAGTTGCTATAGAAAATCCTTTAGTTGACAAACAAGATGGTGTGGAAAATCTTGTAGAAGAGAAAGCAGATGCCACTGAAGTCCCGTCAAACATCAAAGATACTGTTGAAACCCCTGTAAGCAACAAAATAGACCGTCTTCCAGCAGAAGCAAAGGAGATACTGATATCATTGGCAAGTAAATGGGAGGATGTACTAGATGCAAGTGCATTGCAGGTGATCCCTCTCAAGGGGGCAATGACAAATGAGGTATTCCAAATAAAGTGGCCAGCTACAAGTGGGGAAACTTCACGGAAGGTTGTAGTTAGAATCTACGGTGAGGGTGTGGACATTTTCTTTGATAGGGAGAATGAAATACGGACATTTGAATACATGTCAAAAAATGGTCAAGGGCCTCTTCTACTAGGCCGTTTTACAAATGGACGCGTTGAAGAGTTTATCCATGCACGGGTAATCTGACGTTGACATTACTTTTACTCTTAGTACTCTATTATATAACTCAAACCAACATTTGGAAAATTGTTTTATCTGGTTAATGATTAAAAACTGTAAAATGCTTGTATTATAAAACGAACATCACTTCAATAATGTGTTGTAAGTCTAAGATTTTTAAAAAAATAATGAAGAACTACAAAATTTATGAATTTGATGTGCTCACATATTCCATGTTTTCATTCTGAATTATCAGACATTGTCAGCTTCTGACCTACGTGATCCATCAATATCTGCTCTTATAGCAGCCAAAATGAAGGAGTTTCATGATCTAGATATGCCGGGTGAAAAGAAAGTCAATCTTTGGCGTACATTGAGGTATGTGCTATCTGAATACCCATCCCATAGTCACCTTTAAAAAGAATTTATTTGTGGTAGTAAGAGTTTATTTGTCTCAGAGTTTATTTGTCTCACTTGTATAAAAACTTTGTTAGAAATTTATCATTGCTTATATATTTTCATTTCAATGTCTCAGAAATTGGCTTACTGAGGCCAAACGTTTGTCTTCTCCAAAGGAAGTTGAAGCTTTTTATTTGGACACAGTCGACAAGGAAATCTCTATTTTGGAAAAGGAACTATCCGGCGCACACCAACAGATAGGATTTTGCCACAATGATTTACAATATGGTAACATAATGCTTGATGAAGAGAGCAATTCTGTGACCATAATAGTGAGTTTCTCTCCATGCTTGTAAATCTTGACTCTAATGCTAACACCTTTGCAGAAAAAATAATTTTGATTCTAATGCTAACACCTTTGCAGAGAAATAATTTTGATTCTAATGCTAACACCATTGCGGAAAAATGATTTATATTTAATTTTCCACTGGGTCTACACCGAAGAAATAATTTCTATCCTAATTAGTTCTTCTAACTATCTTCTCATAAAAGGGCAACTTGGTGATACAAAGCTCTTGCCATGAACTATAAATAAAATGTTTTCCCTTAGTATATACACTTTTTATCGCATTATTAATCCTGTTTCCTCGAACGGAATTTTACCAACATTTGTGAAAAATAAAAAAAGGCGATGTCTCAATAGCACGACTTAAAAGTGATCATAACCTGCAAGTATGATTTAATGTTACGTCTGTAACAGGACTATGAATATGCAAGTCACAATCCTGTAGCATATGATATAGCAAACCACTTCTGTGAGATGGCTGCGAACTATCATACAGAAACGCCTCATGTTCTTGATTACAGCAATTATCCTGGTATGCTGCGACTCTTGGCTTTTTGAATCATTTGTTAATTTAGTGTCCTGTGAAAAATATGTTTACTTAGCTGGTTTTCTTGACAGATTTTGAGGAGCGTGAGAGATTTATTAAGGCATATTTGCGTACCTCAGGTAATAGATTTTTTATTTTATTTAAATATGGACCTGTTTGGATTGGCTTAATCGAGCTTATCTATTCACATATATTTTGTGATACTGTTTGAGAGATTTTATCAAAACAACTTAGGGCCTTTTTTATAAAATGTTTTTAGTTTATTTTTATACGTTCTTCAAGATAGCTTATGAGAACAATTTATAGCGCATTAAATGGCTTATACAAGCTTATTCATAGCGCTTATTTTCGTATGCATTTGTGCTATAAGCTGCAAATAAGTTGTTTATCCAAACAGACCCTATATCTATCTTCATTGTTAAATGACTGTTGTCTTATTCTTTAATTTAAAATTGACTAATCTTTTAGTGGAAAAATTTTAAAGTTTTCAATTAGCTGACATCAATGACCTATTTCATGGTTTTGAACAAACAAGTTGTATGGTCTAAAATTAACATACAATATTTATATTTCGATGTACCCTTGTATTCCATCATTCATATAACCATGCACGACCTTAAGAAATGTACTGTTATTTTGTGTTCCTGAAATTATGGGCTTGGGTGCAGGTGAAGAACCAAGTGAGGGTGAAGTGGAGCACCTACTTCAAGAAGTTGAGAAATATACACTTGCAAATCATCTATTCTGGGGCCTTTGGGGAATAATTTCGGTATGTGCACTAACTATCTTTTTTTCATGTCACTCTTGGTTGGGTTCGGGTTGAGACCTTAGAGATGGAGAAGTTATTCAATAAACACACTAGGTTTTTCTGCACTATTTCTACTATTAGAAACATTAGGATAGTAAAAAGACAGTAATGCTGAATTCTACCTAGAGTTTTCATAGAACGACATAAGAATTTCTCCATATGGACTAAGGTATAGCAGGAATAGGGGTTGGAAATTTTATTCTTCAATCTTCATTGTCTTATCTTCTGATTATTTTGTTCAGGGACAAGTAAACACAATTGAATTTGATTACAAGGAGTATGCGAAACAGAGGTTTCAAGAGTACTGGGCAAGGAAACCTTATCTTCTGAGCTCTGATGCACCTTCTCCTTTTAATGTCCCTGAGGGAACAGGTATTTAACTTTCTCTCGAGTGTTCACATCGATTTTCTTTCTCAAAGCTAAAATGAACTTAACTAGTATAATTCAGTGAGACTGATGCAAATTTTCGTAATTTCCATTTCCTCTTTTTATCCTGTTTTTGAAAGCAATATTATATAATCTATGCATATTAAGCAACATTATATAATCTCTGCATATTTTGGAATTTTAGTGCCCATAGGAAATTTTGAAACAGTTATTTACATTTATATTTATCTTCACTCTAACTAAACCGAACACATCAATAGGGGACACTAAATAATTATCATTTGTAGGAGAGCTTGCGTCGGGAGGGCACACTAAAGGGAAGAACACTGGTATCTTCAGGAAGATGAAGAGAGTTTTGGGTCTTGGCTTGTTCAGGTCGAAAAGCTAAACCAAGGTTCCTGCCAAAACATTTTCCTTTATGTACTAAGCACTTACTATATTTCGGTATCCTATTATTTATTTTTTCATTCTTTAAATTCGTGTATGAGAACGGTTAATAATTTACGTGATTGTAAGATCAAAAAATTCTCAGCGCTAAGTTTACATTACACAGACATTGATAATCAGTTCAGATGCAATATATATCTGAAGCATATAAACAAAAAGTTGAGAAAGAGATGTTCAATTTGATTTAATTAACTACATAACGTTTTCTTGCAAATCATTATATTGTTAATATCGTGGTTTGTATAAGTTGGCCCTTAGTTAAAGTAGTTACTAGATGATCAAGACTTAAAACCATGCATTAGTATATTCTATATTGTTAATTTTTTTTTTGTCGTAGTCTAGTGGTTAGGTTTACACACTTTAATGTAGAGAAATAGAGAATTTTGGATTCGAACATGCATAATAATATTTGTGGTTAGAGAATTTTGGATTCAAATGTGCATAATAATATTTGTGGTTATCAACTGAATTGAATTGAACTAAGTGTGGTTACATGATCCTTTATTGTTCATTTATATTCATTTTGAGTTCAATCGATGTACTCTTATGTTATGTTATTCTTTATTTACTCCCAAATTTTTTAGTATGATTATTATATTAGAACTTCGAATTAACATAATGTTGTGTTTATGTTTGACAAACATCACCCAAAATTCATCACCTGAAATTCACACACCATTGTTGATTTTTGGGCGATGATGTCACATAGTTATTAACTATATACTCAGTGTCTCAATGTCCGATTATATTTCATTTAAATCATATGTGTTTGATGAGATGGTGATGATTGAATATTTGTTTATTTATATAAACTTATTACATTTCCAATCTTAGTGCATGTTTGTAACATCTTTCTTTGTTTGGGTAGCATGACAAATTCAGAAAACGTGTTTCATCATGCACTTTCACGTACATCCATCCATCCAACAACCATATGGTTAACACAAACTCTGTCGTTTACCGATTATTCCTTCAATTGAATCTCTGCCTTTATGCTTTTCCGGCCATAGTTAGAACATATAGATGCGTTTTTTTAGGTCAACATACTAGTTGCATAGCTAGACCTACTTTTCCTGGTTATAAAATTCCATATTCCTTGCTCTGCAATAATTCAGATAATCCTCTTGAAATGTTATACACATGGGTAGAAAACTTTTAAATTGAGTCTCATTTAATTTTATAAAATTGACTTGTATTGTCCCCATTTATATTAAAATCATATCTTATTAATTATGCTATTCTTAACAACAAAAAAAAACATTTTGTAATTTTACATCATAACCTACAAAAACAGTCAAAAAAGTGAAGAAAATATGATCTTTATTATTTCCTAATGTTTATGACATGACATACTCCCTCTGGCTATTGTTTATAAACAATTTTTTTTTAAAGTTTATTGAATAATGAATGTATCTGATATTTTATATAGATATATTTATTATTTAATGAATTTGGTCCAATATTTTTAATAGTGAGCAAATTTTTAAAATTTTTTTGGTATGTGTAAATTTTTTTATCATTAAAATTCAGTAGTAATATTTTGATAGATTTAAAGTTAGGACTTTAATAATTTTATTTGGGGTTGTTCATTTTATTCCATGTTTCTCATAAATTTTATAAACATTGAAAATACCTTTATCATTCTACGTGTTTTTATACTTTTATTCAATTAATCTTATATAAACAAATTTAAAATAGTTGTTCGAAAAATATCACTTATCACTTAATATATTTAAAAACACCTTTATTATTCTGACATATTTTTACACTTTTATTTAATTAGTCTTATATAGAAAAAATTTAAATAGTGTGTTCGAAAAATATCACTTATCACTCGAATACATTTATTGCTGAACGAGTATTAAAAAAAATTAGAGGTTTTCCAACCGACACAACGATCTCTTGAACGATGTCTCTCAACAGAAGAAACTCTCAAACCCGTTACTGTCGATGGATTTTATCCTTCTCTTGATTCGTCTCCTCTATTCTGTTGCGGTCTTTCAATGGATTGCGCTGTCCTGTTTTCAGAAATCAATCTTCCCTTTCTTCCTTAACCTCTCAACCATATTTCTGAACTGTTTGATGGAACACCAAATCAACAATCTCACAGATGTTTTGCGCAAGCTTTGAAAGGGCTGTGTGATATTCCAATCTCTCAGTTACCCCAACCAGTGTGATTAAGGGAGAATGTCCCTCCGTTACCATTCTTGAAAAGGAATATAAGGAAAGGCTTAACGATTGTAGAAATAATATTCATGAAAGAGTGATATGGCCCAGAGGTTTTTCACTGTTCACTGTGGCGGATCTCAGAGGTAAGCTCTTCAATATCTGACCAGAAGTAAAAAATTGGGGCTCAATATCTCTTGGAAAATGATTCGTAGAATTGAATTTTTCTAATGCGGAAGACATGAGAAGAGTTCGTGCTTTTGGTTCCATCAATTTGAATTCAGGTTCGTTGAAGCTTTTTGCATGGTCTAAGGATTTTAATCCTTTTGGGCACTATAACTCTTCTGCTCAGGTCTGGGTTCGTTTTTCCGGGCTCTCGCAAAAGTATTGGAGACCTCAAATCTTATTTTCCATTGCAATGGAAATATGATTTGTATTGATGTTGTTTCTTCAAAGTCGAGGTTTGATAAAACTTTCGATCATTTCGTTTGTGTGTTGATTGAAATGGATTTGTCCCAACCTCTCAATTACAACGTTTTGGTAGAACAAAAAGAAAATCAGTTTTTTTAATGGTGAAAAGGTTGTTGAGGATTCTGAAAGTGAGAGTGAAAAAGATTGCAACTTGAATAGTGATGTTGCTGAAGCAGTTTTCTCAGCTGCTGCTGCTACAATTTCAGTGGATAATCACCCTGTTTCATTTAATGGTCCTATTCTTGAATTGGTGGTGGCTATCCCAAATCCTGATAACTTTGTGAGTCAGGTACCTGAGGTTTATGAAACGCAAGGACATCTTTCATTGATGCTACTAAAAAATTGAACTACAAACATTCTGATAAGGTTAATGTGAATTTTCTTAACAACTCTTAGGGGAATTTGGAGGATATTGGTAATGATAATGAGGGAGTTTTTACAACAGCGATTTCAAAACTGCATTAGAAGCAAACAGTCAAGAAAAAGCAGCACTCCAATAGGTCCTAAGCAGGCCTTAAATCAAGGTTTTTATGAAGAGCCTCTATTAGAATATTAGAGGTGTGGCTAATGCTCTGTCCAAATTAGCCTTGAAGAGATTAATTAAGATTCACAACCCAAATTTTATTTTTATAGCTGAACCAAAATTGGATTTTCAAAGTTTTCATACTTCTTGGTTTTTTAGACTTAACTTTAAACCTTTTGCCTTCAACCTCAAAGACCAACCTTCTTTGTGGTGTTTGTGCCTTGATGACTTATATCCTACTATTATTTTTGCTTAAGACCAATTTGTTACTTTCTCCTTTAAGTTGGATCACACTTTGTTAGCTTGTGCAGCCGTTTATGCGTCTGTTAAGTTGGTTGCCCGTAGGAAGTTGTGGTAAGATCTAGATGTGCTTCAAAGTTCTCACGTTCTTACTTGGTCTTTCTTTGGTGATTTTAACACCATTATTGGGGCGCATGAGCATCATGGTCGTCGTTGTCCGACTCGTAGTCCCGTGGCTGACTTCAAGTCATGGACGGGCTCCAACAATCTTCTTCATCTTCCTACTTCTGGGGCTAGGTTTACTTGGTATAATAAGCATGATCCTCCTTTCTTTGTTGAGCGTCATCTTGACAGGTGCGTTGGGAATCGACTTTGGATAGATTGTTGCAATCAAATCTCAGTCTCCACACTCGTGAAAGTGTGTTCGGATCATTTTCTGCTTTTGCTTGAAATGCACATAAATCAGGTTAAGATGGCTACTCAATTTAAATTTCTTAAGGTTTGGACTTTTCATAAGGATTTCAGGAATGTTATCAAAAATGTTTGGAATCAAAATATTGTTGGTTGTAATATGTTCGTGCTTACTAAAAAGCTCCAGATCTTGAAAAAAGAGTTGAGAGGTTGGAATAGGAATATTTTTTGGAACATCTCTATTAATGTTTCTATGTCAGAGTAATTACTTTGTAATATCCAACATCAACCACAAGATGTGGATTCTACTGATGATGGTTGAAATTCTGGCAACATATACTTAATGTCACAGTGAATGTTATGACACCGTATCTGACAAATTGTACATAAACCAAACAGTAATTTAAAAGATAGTAAAGAACATAATCAATTGTTAACCCAGTTCAGTGTATAACAACACCTACATCTGGGGGCTACCAAGTCAGGGAGGAAATTCACTATAAGAGGTATTAATTTAGGAATAAACCAACCAATTTATCTCCTTCACTTAAGACCTACCCAATGCAACTTCAATCTAAGTACTACTTAAACCTGAGTTCCTACTCACTCCCCCTCAATCACAGCAGTGATACTAATCTACTGATTAATAAGATTATGAAGACATTCTTCAATACACACGCTTGATTTTGCTTCAAAGATTTAATCAAGAGACACAACACTTGTGCTTCAAAGCTTTGAGTGATAAACAACCCTTACAACCAAATTCTAATCCAAGTCACTTATCAAGTGATAATTTCTTGGCTCACAGTAATTACTAAAATTATCTACAAAATGCCTTGTTGATCTTCTGTCAAAAGCGCTGCCCACCATTGGGATTCGTGAGAAATATATATGCAGTCTATTCTTCAGTTTTGGTCTTCCATAAAAATAGCTAGGGTTAACCAAAGTTAACCTAAAGACTTGGTCTTGGACTTTCATCATAACAGATTAGGGTTAAGCAAGGTTAACCTAATATCCATGTGAGCGTCTGATCCAGTCAATATACTTCAACTCAGAATAGTATACCAGATTCCTGAAAATTCTCAGGAACAATAAATCTGCATAACAACTTGATCAGTACAAGATGTCTT